AAGTAAATCCCGATGATGGGTCGGCGGCGATCTGCAGGTCGTTTGCTGAATTTTGGTGGACCCACTAATCTACTCCTACCCGGGTAACCCGGGTTGTACTTTATAGGACGGATACAATCACTACTACAAACACTAGCTAACGGATACCCATTAATGTAGGACCCGAACAATATTAGTAGAGGTTATATTTGGCTCATTAACATAAATTCTTCAATTTGATTGGTTAAAAAAATTTCTAACCAAATTTCTTAATTTTGTAAAATTTTGACTACTGTTAGCTATTTTTCAAATATAACCTCTGTTAGTTCGGGTCCTATTAATATTTATTAATAATGCACATCAAAAGACATCAAAATAAATTTTAATTTATGTATCAAATAATGTAATAAACTGTATATTTATTATAAATAGAAAAAAAAACAAACATCAATTTCTCAATATTTGATGCAAATCTTTCAGGCGCCACATGAAGCAAATTTGCCAGTATACTTTGCTAGGCAAATATAATAAAAAAATCGTGAAGCGTGACTACATACGTATAAAATATTGCACATAATCAATAGCAACACTTCTTCATATGATTTTATTCTTGAGAATAATTTAGGCGCATTCTTATTCTGAAATGAAGATTGCTACGTACTAATCAAAATCCATGATATTCTATCGCTATGTAAATCTTTCCTTAAAGATGCTTTAAATTTTTTGATGTAGTACTATGTTTAAAGTACGTATGTAAAACGAGCCACATACATTGCTACGTACGTACGTATACGTATGTTTTTTTTTTTTTTTTTTTTAATCCCAATATATTTATATTGTTAAGGTAGTTATCAAACAAAACTTGTTTATCGATTTTAAAATATTTAGGGCAAACAAATCCTTTTAGACTTTTAGAGATGACTATGACATTCTACGCAGCTCGCTCAAATCTTTGTACGATTCCTTTTTTAGTATGTATTCCTGTTTACAAACTTTAGGATCACAATTAATTTTAATTTTACAGTTTAGTCCCATCCATAAGCATAACCTTTGCCACCTTTTGGCCAGCCAGGACAAGTTCCATGTGTTCTATTCTTTTTTGCTGTGCCTTGTTTTTTAAAATAATTATTATTAAACTTAGTAAAAAAAAAAAAAACATCCCAAGACTTAGAAGAAAATGATAGTTGGATAACATCATGTATGTCTTGCCTTTTTTTATAGCATCCCTTCTTTTCTTGCTTAACCTTTTCGATCTTTTTACAGGCGACCTTTTTGGATTTTCAAATGGCACATGTAACACTTTATGTGGTACAAAATTGCGCTCCCATGGAGTTTTTGATTGCATGATCACTTCCGACGAAGTTACCATTGTATCGATAATTTGTTCGAGTCTTTCTGCTTTACTCCTTAGTTAAGGTAATTGGATTCTTAATTGAATTAAAATACGGGATATGACAACATTCAATGATCTTTTTAGGTACTTCTGAATTTTAAGTTCATCAACCTTCGCTTTAACGATTCCAACTTGTTTACTGTAATCTTTGACATCGCACTAGGTTCTAGAGAAACTTTTGTAGGTGGATCACGTGCAAATAGGCGAAACACTATTATCATGAGATCAACAATATTAGAGAACAATTATATAAATTAATATGTATCAGTACGTAGTGAGAAAATCTTAGCGTACGTACGCACATCCTGCTGATTTTCTTGCATATATTGATTATCATCATCATTCCTATAGTTGACGTCTAGACTCTGTTAATGAACGAAAAGTCAGTACCTGTCAAAAGTTTCCCCGCACTTGTAATTTGATATAATGAAGGCTTATTATTTTAAAGGTTTACATTAAAAATTGTAATATTGGTATCAAATATATGTATTTTATATTCAGTAAAAAAATTTTGATTTAAATTAATCAGATAGTTGTCGAGAAATTAAATTTTTGAAGTTTATCAGAAAAATTTTTGATCATAATCAAATTTAAAACAATATTTTTTTTATATTTTAAGTTATTGATATAATCTCTTTTATATCAATTTTAGAAAATCTTTCAATCGAATTTCAAATTTTTAGCTCTCATTTAAATTCTGTTATAGAAATCAAAAAATTTCATATCGTCTAGATTTATTTTATACTACCGATTTTAAAAAAAAATTTCAAAGCTTTAATGCTTCGTATACTGAGTTACAGATGCGGGGAAACTTTTGACGGCATTGTATTCGCGTAAGCATGGATCACGGATTTCTTACCTTCTATCGATAAAACTTCTTGTAGCCTCTCGAATAACATCTTTTCTATATTCCTCTTATTAGTTTCATCGGTTTTATCATAATCGAATTGGTCAAATATTGACTTGCGTGAAACAACTACAGTATCTTGTGGCATGTTGGTCCTGTTTTCTTATGTGATTAGCTAAGGTACAGTACGTACGTAGGAATAAATGTTAACGCAAAAAGAAACCATCCTTACTGTTAGAGTCGAGGTTACCTTTTATGATCCATAACTTGAATTGATAAATGTGAAGAATTGACCAATCACAGCTTAAATATTATCCATGAGTAACACACTAAATAATATTAAGATTTTGACATTCAACCATTCAACTTCGTATTGCAGTATTGATCTCTTACCATGTGACCGGCTGCAACCATACACAATCTCAAAAAAGCATTCCGTAGAATCTTAACCTGACAATATATATGCAGAACTTACTATATATAGTTTCATTTTTACATATGTTACCCAGTCGCCGACTATATAGTATTTTCGGTGTTACCGCATGAAAAAAAATTTTATATAACATTAAGTTGTTACGTAGATGCATCGTATATAATAATAAAGATAATTAAAGCTTTGCAAAATGTCAGCCTCCCCGGAAGATAACGCTTGCGACTCACCATACTCTTCGGTATCGGATGACTTTACGATGAACAATTTATATTTTTCTTCTACAAACGACGTATCTCAAGATAACCCACCAACTTTATTGGATCCAAAACTAGAAGTCGTTGACTCGAACACGCCTTTGTTTTTTTTAACTCTAACTCCACAGCAAACACCAACTCGAGAATTGCAACCCCCGGCTACTCAAAACGATCCACAAGTTTCTCATTTTCACCAAACAGTCTTCAACTCTTCTCCCTTGGGTGACATGCATCAACAATCAATAAATAATGTAATTCAGTTCTCGACCATTGATAAGCATAGTACTGCTTTACATCTCACTATTATTATTT